TACCCCGATCTGGCTTTTCCAAAAAAAACTTCAACACAACTTTCGTTGGTCGGAATCCCTAACGTACCTTGAGATACTGGGTTAAAACCGACGTATTAAAGTTTGATCAGCCTTTCAATGGTTTTCTGCAGCGTATATGTGTTGGGTGCCGCAAATTTTCACTTTTTTATTGACAACGGGCCAAAGTAGAGAGAGCCCAGACACGCAGAAACAATTGCGACCGCATATTGCAGAGGAGCGCATTTAAAACAAATTCATACAGGTTGGATTGTATCTACCTGGAATTTGTGCCGATTATGTTCCAAAATCAATTGATTCTTTCAACAGTAGCAGCTTCGAAGGTTCGATAAAATTTCCCCTTGTTACATAATGTTCGGTGATTTGTCGGTTTGCAGGAATAAAGATAGAAGGACCAATAGGTGTGAACATCTCAGCATTGGAAGCAGCAGGAGTTAATTTAACTGCATTGGCTGAAAAATTGAGGAATGACACCGAAGTCGACGATATTCTAAGCCGAACAGAGGGCGCTGTTAAGTAAGAACTGATTCGCTTGTGCTCTGCAACTGAAAAGTACAATCACGATTTTTCAGAACATTAGGAGGAAGTTTCATAATGCCTGTTTTGGAGAAGAATCAGTATGATCCATTCTCAGCTCCAATTGTTTTCCAAGGGAGTGCAGTGGTTGTACGATTTGGAATCTATATTGAATCAATCTCTAATTTCCAAACTTCCACAATGGTAGGATTCGCTACAAATACAAATAAAATAGTTTTTGAAGGATTATGATATGGATATATACTTAATGATGTCATGGAGAGATGCGAGGCTCGTGAACCCGTATGATAAGCCAATTTTAGTGAAAGAGGTTTATAATCGGTAAATTATTCGAATTCTTGACTATTGCTATTACTTTCAGGAAGAGATTTTGGAAAAAATCTGGCGCCCCGATCCTTTCTTCGCTAATGCGAAAGAAGCAGAGTTCCACGAAGTTACTTTCTTGAACTTTCTAATGAGGATTTACCCTGATGGGCTGGTGTTATATGAAACGAGGTTAGGTGAAGAGTTTCTAGATTGGATTCAGATGAATGTTCAGAGTGAAGATAACACCATCCTGCAATCTTATCTTATGTAAATATCCACACGATAAACAAACGTGTGATCTAGTCATCAAATCTTGTAAGTTGTGATTGTTTTTCCTTACCTACTGACCGTTTTGAACAGTTGCCTATCCGATTGAAACAGTCCGTTTCGAATGGTTTTCTAGAAGAAAAGACGCTATCGATAAAAATCCTGACGTGAAACTACCAGAGCTTTACATCAGTCGATATGAACCAACCATTTGCAATAAAACAAGAAAATCTGGTCAGATAATATGTCAATTGTTTATATAGTAAACTTACTACAGGTGAATTTTCATGTTTGAGAGCGGTTTTCCGTTTGAAACGAGATGTTGGTTTCCATATTGCTCAAACTTATATTCCTACGTCTTTAGCGCTGATGTTCAGTTGGGTAAATCACGAAACAATTGCAGTTTATATGTATATTACTTAGGTTGGTGTGTGGCTCCCTGAGGAATTTATGGAAGGACGAATAGGTGTTGCTATTACAGTTTTGTTGACGTTATCAACAGAATCAGCCGGTGCTCGAGAACATCTACCAAGTGTTTCTTACTTGAAAGTATCGAGTTAGTTGTAGCAGTTAATGAACGTTCATCCTTCCAGGCAATAGATCTCTGGTTTGGCTTCATTACGGGTTTTGTTTTCTTTACTCTCCTTCAAACACTTTTCGTAATAGGTTTTGATAAAAGAGCCAATCAGTTAGTGAGTTTCAAATCATTCCAACTAACTTACTTGTAATTGATATCTTAAGAGGAAATGGGCAATGAAGAAGAAGTTGGACGTAACCGAAGAGTTACGAGATGCTATGCTAGAGAAAGCTCGCCGTTATCACAAAACTGGAAGGTAAATAATTCGCTCTCATAGTAAAGATCCTGTTTTGATTTTCTTTCAGATATTTGGACAATTTTTGTCGTGTTTTCTATCCTCTGAGTTTCATACTGTTCCTCATAATGTATTATTTCGTTTTTACCGAAGGTC